GAGAAATTGCTTCAACCACTGACGCGCTAACCCGACTATTCCAAAAGTTGGTAGTTTCTGGTCAAGCAACGTGAGACTCACCGAATCAAAAGCCTTGCTGAGGTCTCTACCGCTCTACTCTGATCTAAACGACGTGCATTTTCGTCCAGCAACATAAGTAGCTTGGTTGAGCACAACTTATTTCTGTTAAACTCTTGATGTGCAAGAGATATATGTCTATGAGTCACCAGGCGCGTACAGACTTGTCCTCTGACTATTCGTTCAAGGCATTTACACAGCACTGATGTTAAACTGATGAGCCTTTAGTTTTCCGCCTTTTTTCTGGACCCCGATTTGTACATTGCTACAATGATTGTCTTCCACCAATCCTCTGGCACTACCCTGGAGTGCGGTGATGCCTTAAACAATTCAGTGACAGATCCTAGTATGACCTCAGCTGGTGGCCGGACGATAGCTGGGTGGATCTCATCAGGACCCGCCATCTTATGCCTGCACAGGCTTCTGAACTCGGTCCGTACCTCGTCCTCCATCACGATTAGCATCCGCAGCTCATTTTCATTGGTATCCACCAAAGGGTGCCAGACTCCATCACCCTGAGCCGAACGATAGCCACTTTTAAAATAGTTCATCAGCGTCTCAGCCCTGTCCTTACCTGTGCTGGCTACGTTACCGTTTGCTACCTCTAAGGTTCCAACACTTTCACATGTCGTTCCCTTAGACTGTATATACGCAAAAAACCTCTTCGGGTTCGTTCTGATGTTTCTAGCTATTTTCTTTTCATACTTGAACTTAGATTTCCGCTGCATTACCTGTCGTATTTGTGGCCACCTTGTAGTTAATAATAATAATAATAGGTATACTTCACGGAGCCCGTGAGACATGCGCAAGGCATGATCAAATGATCAGAGCGAGCATATGTACAATAACAGTGTGAAAGGAACACAAACCGGACAAGGTCACCGACGAATTTGTGAGAGGTGGAGGACGCATTCAAAATGCATGTCACTAGAACTGGAAGTAATGGTAAAACTGGTCTCGGAAGGATCGGACGTACGACAACAGTGCGGGAATATGCGGAGAGGCGATCTGTGGAACAAATGCTGCCTGATGGTGGAGGCATTAGGACAGGAATAGAAAGGAAGGAATACAGCCAGAATAATACGTCGGTAAAGGAACATGATTCACTCTATGCTGCAATACAACTCGGTCCTGGAGACAGGTTCATTGGATTCGGGGCTTCAATCGATCAAGCAGTGATTTTGATTATTTAGATTAATTAGGTGTTGGCCGCTTTGATGTGAGTCTGACTACACGCTAGACACCCAACCTTAAAACACCATATAGGTGAGACAGGGG